TGAGACTCCTGTTGCAGCCAGTAGAGATTTCCCGCTGTAAAATTCAAGATCAGAACTGCATCCTTTTTGTCAATCTTTGTTTTAAGGATGCAGCCTGCCTAGCACCCCGCATAGCCCCTCACGCAGCAAGACGTCCACTAGAGTGAAGGACAACAGAAGGGACGGCACAAGGAGAAACACCATCTCATCCAGCCACCCGACAGAGACTTACAATTGAGGCTATCTATAAATACACGGTCTTTGCATGTTTTGATTAGATTTGTGTCTGGTGCATTTGCACAGATTAATCTGTCCCATAAAATGAGACCAACCAATAGAAATGTCATCTTTATCCCTCAGTTTGTAACTGCTTACGTGTAGCCACCCTCTCAATACTCGATATGAACAGTCCTGAAAGGAAACGAAATAAAAGCCACACAAAATTGCTTATAGCAGAACTACTGGTCAGTGCTCAACAGTTAATATTCACAAGCTGATCTGCCCCTCTTTCTCCCCAGCCTCTGTTTTTGGTTGGTTTTTTTTTTAATATTGTCAAGGTTTTACCTTAACGGTAACTTAATCCCGTCTCTAGTGGGCCAGAAGCACATAAAAGAATTATTTCATAACTCAGGGATGTTTATGACACCCCCATATGCCCATGCTGATGGACTCCATCACACACTATTTGATGTTTTTACTGTACCTTCGCTGAGCGCTGCTACAAGCCATTTACCAATTTATAAAGGGAGGTATCAAATTGTTTTGGAGGGCTGCAGTATGACAGAACAATTTATAGAGAAGACTTAATTTGTATTATGGTTCAATACAGTCAATTAAATATTGCACAGATTAGAAAGTAATTTAACATTTAAGCTTCAGTTGTTAAAAAAATCCACTGTACATAGCCTCCAAATTATTTTAGGTCTCCTGTGACTTTAGTCACTGTTGCAAACATCGAGGATTTCAAATGGAAGCACAGATAAACTCTCAAACCGGGTAACTAAGACAATCTCGTGATGCACGAGTCCTTCTTTTTAGGCTAAACATGGTGTCATTATTGTATCTTATTCATACACTAGAAAGTTTTTTCCAGGTGTTAAAGAAGTCCACGATACCCACCTCCACCAAGGCTGCTGTCTTCCCTCTTCCCTTTAAGTTTGCTCCGATCTCTCCCACTAGCCACTATTTTCTCTCCTTTTCTCCATTCTATCCCCCGCTTCTCCTCTTCCCTCAGGTTGCTCCCTGTACATCACACTGAATTGATTTAGCTGCCTCTGAGATCTGTAGCATTTCTAATTTCCCTTAGGCTGCTTGGCACCTATCATAAATTTTTTCACCCCTTATCCTCATCTTGCCCCGTTATTTCCATGCTGTAGCCTCCAGTGCCACTAAATCAATTAAGTCAATCAATTAAGTACTTGGAGGGTCCAGCAATCATGTCAAATATGTGAGTTAGATGGCACGAGAAAGTCACTGCTTTACTATCGCTATTTCTCTTTTAATGAGGTTGTCTATTTAGTGGAGCCTAGGGCACAGTGTTAAGAGCCACAACAAAAAATATCCGGCAAGCTGCAATGCCTCCTATAAAAGCTGCCCCACCGAAAGCAGGAAGCATGTACCACACAGTATTATATCTATACGGACAAGTTTCAGAGGGATTTAAGTTGCACAGCCTTTCATGGTAAGCCTGTTTTCAGACAGGTGGTACCAACTGACAGCTCCGCTGTTGTAATTTCCATGCTATCAATACTGGGACGTGGGTGACAGACATGGCCCAAGCATCCTCTGCATTTCTATTCCTGTCTATTCACTTCTATCACATTTGAATAAGCAATAATACATTTTGCGTGTCACTTAAAGCTCCCCAAACATCAAAGTTATCCTCCAAGCTGCAAAATCCTTAATGGATTCATAATAAAATTAATTAATTTTCATGTAGTTCATAAAGATACATGAACTACAGTTTCAGTCATACAGCTGTCTACAGACAAGTCCCCCATACTCCAACTCATACTGTGATTGCTCAGCAGCACGTTAGGAAATCAGGCCCTACATGTTTAGGAACTACTGAACAAATAGTAGAAACTGAACCTAACGTGGAAAACTATCGCAATGCCTTAACGACAAGCTTAGCAAGCCAGGAGCGTAATAGTACATTGACCATTATTTACTGCAACACATTAAGTGAAAACAATGAATTGTAAAACAGGCGAACGGTCCTGAGATGAATCTTATCTCATTGCTGCAAGAAATACCAGAGTGGTACAGATGGGCAGCCAGCTCCTCCACTACACCGAGAAGGCCGCTGTGTTCCTCAGCAGTGCTCAAGATGTGCATACTACGGCACTCTGTCAAATGTTCTCCATGGCCATTTCCTTACAATTCCTGCTTGTTTTAGCTGAGATTTGCAGGGATCGTGGGGACAACAACTGGTCACAAGCATTTCTCTAATTGCCTATGTTTGTGCTCCAATGCTTCTCTGCTGTTTTGTTAAAATGCACTTAGTAGAGGTGGTCTGGAGCTGCTCATCTCCGTTGTAAACACCCCACATTTCAAATAACATGCTTAAGGAGCAGACATGAAACACTTAAATTCTCTACAGCTGCAGATTCAAATCCCAGACCTGTTTCTTGCTGGCATGGTTTTTTCCCTGGTACCCATTAATGGCACATGGATACCTGTTAAGCAGTTGTGAATCTTTCAATCTTCTTTCACCCTAGAGACAGTCCCATTTCAATGGGACTGTGTACAGACAGTTTTGGGGAAAAGTCACCAATCTCAAATGTCAATGACATGGAACATGAATCAGTAAATTGTATTTGCACCACAAACATTTCCATGTTGTTTTCTGGAAGTTGGCATTAGGGCAGCAGATGGGGTGGCAAGGCATCAGCATACCGAGATATGCAGGGAAAAAGCAGATGGGGGAAACGAGCACAGGGCGACCGAGAGCAGGGGTGGTGATGGAGCTCATCCACCCGAAAAGCCAATTGCTCCCCCACCACCATCAGTGCATTCACCCACAGCCTTTCCCCTGCCTCCC